AAAACTAGTCATCTGCCTGTTATGTGGACTCTCTTGCTTTAGTATTATGAGCCACTTAGATAAGCACTTCTGACTTTCCTGGTTTGCATACTTGTTTTGGGTCAGTGACTTTAAAAGTATTGAAGATAATAGGTCAACATAACAAACAGGAAACCAGTTATTTGAAAAGGACTCCAGCAATGGGAAACCCCAAATGTCTAACATAGTGGTGTAGCCCTGGTCAGTTGCCCCTTAAATTCAGAGCTCCTTGGCTTTATTTCATGTTCTAGCTTCCTGAGGCCACCCACTGCAGCTTGTCTCTCCACTGCAATAGGACAATGTGGCAGGAAGAGGAGAATCCAACCAGGAAAAAGCCTACCCACCAAGCACCGGGGAAGAGGAGCCAGAGTGACAGGGAGCAGGATAAAGGAAAAAAAGTGCAACAGAGAGCCTGGAGGTTGCCAAGCTAAGTGTGACACAGAAGTAAGCTGCAGAGAGCCCAGAAACAAGGACTACCACAAGGGTTGATGCTGTGCTGACCAGGGTCTGCTGTGGATGAGGGCTGCTATACTGTGCAGAGCTTCGAGTATAGCCCAGAGAGACTGTACAGTCAGGCAGGACAAGAGGGGACCTTAGAAGATCTGTCAGGGCAATGATCTCTGAGCTTCAGAGAGGGTGAAACCTGAAGATTCAGCTGGTGCAAGCTTGAGAGACCATGTGTTGTGTGACCTCGCATCTGACCTCCAGGAGGAAACGGCCATTAGTGGTGAGAGGACACTTGAGAGGACACTTGACCAACTGCATTCATACTGACTTTGCTTTCTGGTGGTTTAGAAACTGTGCTGCCACTCAGAGAATTGGCCCAGGGTGTTTGGAATAGCCCTTAGAATTCTAAGTACTCTCTTGAGAAAGAGAGCGTGCCCCAATGAGAGTTCATTGGCCCCACCGCTGGCAGACTGTGTGGTAGACCCCCCTTCACTGGCCAGTGGTATAGTTAAAGCCTCAGAATTGCAGACAGTCCATAATGTTGTTTTCATATATCCATTTATAACTGTTTGTTTCTGAAAATAGTTACATAAGTAGTCTGGCTGAAAAAAGACAAAATTCCATCCAGTTCAACCATTTAAAAAAAAAAAAAAAAAGTTATAATCCTACACCCACAGTTGATCCAGTGGAAGGCAAAAAACCCAGCAAAGCACGATCCAATTTGCTCCTGTAGAGGAAAAAATTCCTTCCTGGTCCCCCGAGAGGCAATTGGATATTCCCTGGATCAACTTTACCTATAAATGTAAGTAATCAGTTATATTCTATGTATCTAGGGAAGAATCCAGTTGTTTTTTAAAAGCAATCCACTGAGCTGGCCAGAACCAACTCTTGAGGGAGTCTATTCCACATTTTCTACTGAAAAGAGCCAGGCGCTGTGGAATGTGTAGTCATATAAGCACCTTTCTGTGAGGTGTACCTTTAATCAAAGATGATGCATAACAGGATAAAATATAAAACACAAGCCTGTGGCTTTAAGACACCTGGTTTCCAGATGGACGGCCCGTCAGCTCAGAGGGGAGCTGTGGAGGAGAGGAGCGCCTGTCAAGCAGGGACCACGTGATCGCCGCGTCGCGGCATCCCAGGTGACGTCACCGTGATGTCCAGGAGACGGAGGGGAGGAACCCACGCTAAAGCCGCAGCTTGGAAGTGAAGACTGGTTGCCAGGACATGCCAAAGTCCTAGGTGTCACTCTAGACTCAAACCTGTCCTTCCAACCCTATGTCCAATCGTTGGCAAACTCATGCAGACTCCACCTCCACAACATCTCCAAAATACGTACGTTCCTAACCCCAGACACTACTAAACAATTCGTTCACTCCCTCATTATTTCACGTTTGGACTACTGCAACTCCCTTCTCACCAGCCTACCTCATCACAGACTATCCCCGCTTCAGTCTATCCTGAACTCAGCGGCCAGACTCATCCACCTTACCAACCGCTCCGCTTCTGCCACCCCCCTCTGTCATTCCCTCCACTGGCTCCCGATCGCCCCCAACGCATTAAATTCAAACTACTAACAATGATATACAAAGCCATTCACAATGCTGCACCAAACTACCTCACCGACCTGATACCCAAATACCACCCAACCCGTAATCTTCGCTTCTCACAAGACCTCCTACTTTCTAGCTCCCTGGTCTCCACCTCCCACGTCCGACTGCAGGACTTCTCCAGGACTTCCCCCATACTCTGGAACTCACTACCCCAATCCATCAGACTGTCACCTACCCTCCTCACCTTTAGTCGCACCCTGAAAACCCATCTCTTCAGGGAAGCCTACCCCACTCTCACCTAACAGCCGATCTCCTCCACTCCTCCTACCACTCCATCCCCCACAGCCACTTCCTCCTGTACCACTTTCCCCTCCCTCCTAGATTGTAAGTTCGAAAGAGCAGGGCCCTTGAACCCCTCATGTATTATTTTGTTACTGTATTGTCTCATGTTCTGTCCCCCACTATAATGTACAGCGCTGAGCAAACCTTTCTGGCGCTATATAAATACTGTATAATAATAATAACACGTTTCACGCACATGCAACTTCTCAAGTCCATGGACTTGAGAGCACTACTCCTCCTACTGACCACAGGTGCTATGGAATTTTTTTACTCCCACTGATCACCAAGCCTGGGACATTGTCTACTTATTTTGATGCCAGAGCATTTTCTACTCCCACTGTCCAGTATGGCCCCCCTAAGATGTAATGTACAGTAAACTTGCCCTTTGTTTAGAAAGTTTAGAGACTCCTATACTATAAGAAGAGGACATGATGATGAAAGGTTGCACCATCAGGTTTATTCAACAAGGCAATGTACATTATCATAACACGTATTTCAGGGTCTGACTCCTATAAAAAGAAATCTATTTCTATGGGTTACTGCACTGTGTGTTATGGAACAAGCCAGAATATGTATGTAATGACTAGAAGAAAATATTAGATCATTAGCGCATGGCCTGAGCTTGAGGGTTAGCAGGAGTCGCAATGGTGAACCTGCCCATGCTCCAGGGGGCCTGTGCGGCCTACCTGTCACATTAGGTTTTACACTGTGTCACTGTGGAACAGTGCTTGCCATATTATCTTGCATAGGTAATTCAGTAAACTCTGAGGGCCTGGATTGGCTGGGCAGGGGCCCATCTAGGCCTGTCCTGGACCCTCTGAGTTTCTGGTTTCACCTACACAGGGTAACGGCGCAAGCCCTTTTCCCCAGAGGCACACTTTATGCTCAGTTCCCCAGCCCAGCCCTGTACAACCCCTCCCCCCTCTGCTCAGCCCTGCTCAGCCGGGTACATGCCCACAAATTGGGGGCAGGCAGGCCACACTCTGAGCTGCCAGTGGAAAGAAGTGGGATTGTATGTGAATCTGGAAGTAAGAGGGCGCGGGCTCGCCTACCCCGAGCACGCACCCAGGCTGGGCCCTCTGAGCTTTCTCTTTTACATACATACCCACCACTTTCACCATCTTGACGCACAGTGGGAGTATCTTAGCATGCTGCGGAAGCGGTAGGTAGTCAGGACTCAGGTCGACTTTTGCATCATAGCCCACAAGCTTCAAGCTATGCCTCTGACTTAGAGTGGACCATAAAAAACCTAAATTTATCCCTGATCTAATGCTAAGTAGAAGGGGAAGTCACATAGTGGTATCATATTGGGCAATAAATATTTTGGACTGCAAGAATCACCCATTTACACTCATAGAGAGAATGAGACAGGCAGAGATAAGTGGAGAGAGAAAACTGCATGTTGTGAAGTATACATAGCTAGGGTTTAGATTCGAGTAACTGAAATGTGAAAAGAAACTCATTAAAGTTGCTTGGCTGGTATACTTTAATCCAATAGGATACAGTTTACTGATGCTAGATACATGTTGTTTACTCCCTAAATATGTAAGGTATCAACTGTCTTATCTCTGAAATTCCCAGGACTCCATTATTAATAAGCATCAGTCTGACCTACTTCCTCTGGAAAGAGAAGTAACAATGGATAAAACTTACATAAGATCCATGAACACCCAAATCAGCAATAAATCATTTAAATCTCTATACAAGTGATGATTAAGCAGCTTTATCAAGACTTCTTTTCTAAGCAGAAGTGAAATGTATGTTTGCAGGAACAATTAGGCTTATTTAGCACAATAAAGCAATGCACACTGACTAAAGCTGGCCATACACGCAAAGACTTCTCCATCCAAGTTAACAGCATGAATGGACTAATATTCCCTGCCAACTATTGTATTCTGACAGCCAGTACCCACGACTGTCAAACTATCCCAACAGTGACTGCAGCTGATTGGCTACAGTCACTGTTCAGCTGACAACTTTCTAAATTGGGGCTTTAAATATACCACCACTACATAATGCACTATACACAATAACCTCAGTCAAATATAAAACCATCAGTTTTATTCAAAGATAATATTAAAATATTGACATAATATCATAGTATATACAAAAGACATGTTACAGTTGTACAGATATTCCTTTTCTTAGTACATGCCCTTAAGGTAGGTTTACGTGTTTTGTAGTTTCTTCTTCAGAACCAACAAGGAATTCGGATAATTAGAAGGTTACATAATCAAATATAAAATTAATTCTGAGAAAAAAAGAGATATACATAAATAATATTGCCAAATGTATTGGGATATCCCTCCAAATCATTGGATTCAGGTGTTCCATCACCTCCATGGCCACAGGTGTATAAAAACAAGCCCCTAGGCATGCAGACTGCTTCTACAAACATTTGTGAAAGAAAAGGTCGCTCTCAGGACCTCAGTGAATTCAAGCATGGAACCTAATTAATCTCCGGTCAACTGTTAGTGGTATTATAACAAAGTGGAAGCAACTGGGAACAACCGCAGCTCAGCCACGAAGTAGTAGGCCACATAAAATGACAGAGCGGGGTCAGTGCATGCTGAAACGCACAGTGTACAGAAGTCACCAACTGCCTGCAGAGTCAATAGCTAAAGACCTCCAAACTGCGAGTGGCCTTCAGATTAGCACAACAACAGTGCATAGAGAGCTTCATAGAATGGGTTTCCATGGCCGGGTAGCTGCATCCAAGCCTACAGTGAAGGGAACTCTTAAGGCGTCAGCATACAAACACAGTTTGGACAATTTCATGCTTCCAACTTTGTGGGAACAGTTTCAGGATGGCCCCTTCCTGTTCCAACATGACTGCGCACCAGTGCACAAAGCAAGGTCCATAAAGACATGGATGAGCGAGTTTGGGATGAGGGAACTTGGCAGGCCTGCCCTCCTGATCTCAATCCAATAGGAGACTGCGAGCCAGGCCTTCTCGTCCGACATCAGTGCCTGACCTCACAAGTGTGCTTCTGGAAGAATGGTTAAACATTCCCATAGACACACTCCTAAACCTTGTGGACGGCCTTCCCAGAAGAGTTGAAGCTGTTATAGCTGCAAAGGGTGGGCCAACTCAATATTGAACCCTAAGGACTAAGAGTGGGATGCCATTAAAGGTCATGTGCATGTACAGGCAGGTTTCCCAATATTTTTGGCAATATAGTGTATATTAACAACTACATCATGAAGCATTAATGTTTCATGATCATGTTGTTAATATATAGTATGTGTATCTCACTTTTTCTCAGAATTGATTATATATTTGGAAAGATTCTGTAAAGCCTGTGGTCGGATACAACTTACAGACATTAGAGAAAGACTACACTTACAGAAAAAGTTCATCTTTTGACAAAAAATATTTAATACACATTTTTCTGTTTTAGGAGTCTGTAAAGCAGTGTACCAGCAATCAGCAGATGAATGAATGAATGAGCAACAGGCGGAGCATTTTTTTAAATTGTGACAGCTAGCGGGTGGGAGAAGATCCCCTGCTAGCCGGTACTTTTGTAACATGTTACACCCTGAATATGGGTGTAACATGTTACGAAAGGTGAACTTATCCTTTAGAAGTCTACTTATAAAAAAAAAAACTTGCTCTATGAATGTCATAAGCATTCGCATAGCCATCATGAATAATCCCCGTAATTTGGCTAATATGTTTATTTCATACGATAGGCAACTCTATCTAGTGGCATTACCACATTATGGCCCCTTGATGGAGCTGACAATCATTGGAAATACCCATTTTAAACAAAACATAGGGATTATTTGTGACAGCTGTGTGAATGTTTGTGACATTCACAATTTTTTTTATAAAAGACTCCATGGTGTCAGGACATAAAGTCCTGTCTCTCCGGTCAGGGAAAAACATATCTATCATTTTATACAAAAAAAAAAAAAAATCTTTCCATCTTCGTATTATTCAAAATAGAAATCGATTTTCCTACATGCGTCAGTATTATGAGGCTACTTTCCACCATCCTCTGCAGCCTGATGAATGAAAATGTCAGCTTTGTGCTCAGGCTGGACTTATCTATAGTGAAAAAAGATACTGCAAAGGACTGATGAATCATTGTAATCGCAGATCTTTTCACATTGCGCCAGGACGAGATAATAAACTCACATTAGCTATTATTATATAGAGAGGAGAGTATGCCTCACAATGATTCATGCATTGAGTCCAATTACTGCCCTGCTTCCCGAGAGGACAGAAACCCCTGTGTGGATTAACAAGGCAATTGTAGAAGCAGCTGGTCATTGTATTTATTCTAATATGCTGGAATTTATGCCACACATGTGCCCAAAAAATTGTACCACCAGCAGCAGGTGTTATGCAGGTAGCCTTGCATATGTAGAGGTGTGGCAATTAGTGGATCTCCATCAAACATGAATTATTTTTGGACCATTATGACAGTTTTGTAACATGTCAGTTTCATTCAAGCAAAACTATTTACCAAATAAAAATGAATGAGTTCCAGTGTTGTATTGTTATAATTACTAAAATAAGAAATTCTTATGAACATAAAACTCACATCATAGCCACTGTTCCGGATACCACGCCGTGGTCGTTCCCGAGTTACTAGAAGATCCATTTCAGTCTCTCCTGGGCTTGGACTGTTCAAAGATTGGCGACTCCTATATGGATGATTCTTTAGTGAAGGTTGCCTAAAATTAAGAATAAATAGTTATAGCATGAGTAAAACAAAAAAAGTGTTAACTTTCCCAGGAGCCAGGGGTACCAGGGTTGTAAAGAGCGGACACGGACACAGACCACTGTTCTCTATGGGGCGGTGGGATGTAAACGAACCACCTTTCTGTTTACATCCGACTGTCATCTGATCTGATCCGCTAGCTGGATAGGGAATTGTTTCCCCATCCGTTTTCAGTAGATTGGATCGGATGCATGTGGGTGTAAATTCACTTATGTTTATTTACATCTGCCTACCCCATAAGGAACAATGGGTGGTCCGTTCGGGTCCCCCTGAAAAACAGACAGGCAAACCTAAATGGTCTTCCCGTGTGAAAGGGCTCTAAGTAGACGTGAATGTTGGACAGTCTAATCCAACACAACTTTAGACCATGAGGTAAATTCCGAACAAGCTAAGACTTCACAACTGGAAACCATGAGGCAAGATTCTGAGCAGCCTTAAGCCTAGTACACACTGTGACAAAACCGGACAACCGATCATCCAATTTTCCACAAACGTGCATATCATGAAGTAACAGGAATGGTATTGACTTGTAAGAAAATTGTCAGTAGATACGTACTAGCGTAGTAGAAGGGGAAGTGTAGGGTCATTCTATGCTTCTGATCATGTGTTTTTTTTCTATTTGATTACTGTACGAAAATTGGACATTGTGTTCACGTACAATAAAAATGTTCAAGCTTGCACCTTCAGTTTTTATTATCTGAAAAGTCAGAATCAGCTGTCGAAAGTACTATACTAACAATCAGTTAATCAGCCGATTGTTTCTTTGTACAGAAATTTTTGTATGATTTTTTATCGTGTATACAGACCATAAGGCCTTACAGCTGAACACCGTGAGGCAAATTTTTTTTCAGCTGGTTACCTTGCTCCTATGCACAACTACAGGTAGCCAATGCGATTTCCGGAACACTTCACAGTCACGATTTACCTAGAATCCCACACCAGAAGGGTGCTACATAGGGATAAAGGGATTAAAGCGAATATGTTGCTTTGCCTTGAATGGTCACAGTGCAGGTCTGCTTTCAGGTCCATATTTACCCTCATGTTACCTAAAACTCTTATGTTTGGATTCATCCCCTGTCCCCAGTGCCACAAACAGTAGTAAGTCCAATGAATTGCTGGTTTGAATGCCTATTTATTAGGGCTTTACAGTATAAACATGTACCCCAAAGATGCTAAGTTCTGTAGCATTAAAAATTTCAAGCTGTGACTCGCTGTAACGTTGTCAATTTTTAAAAAAAGAGCTCAAAAGATTTCATATCCCCCATGTCACTTACGTTGACTTTTCCATTTAGATCAATGACAATTTTCATTTAGATCCCCTCACGCCAGAGTGCTAGGTGCAATCCTGGACCCTTGACTTCTCCTTCTAGTCCCACACGCAATCATTGCCCAAATCTTGCCTCCACCTCCACAACATTTCCAAAATACGTCCCTTCTCAATAAATAACACCAGAGCAATACTAATTCGCTCCCGTGTTATCTTTCGCCTTGACTATTGCAACTTCCTCCTTGATGTACTACCTCTACACAAGTTATCCCTACTTCAGTCCCTCATGAATGCGGCTTCCAGGCACATCCACTTTGCCAACTGTTCAGTGTCCACTACTCTTCTTTGTCAATCCCTCAACTGGCTTCTGATCACCTAACAAATCAACTAACAGCAAAGCCAACAAAGCACTCCATAACACCGCCTCGAAATACATCTCCAACCTCATCTCAAAATATCACCCAAAACATCCTCTCCTCCTCAAACCTCCTGCTCTCCAGCTGCCTTGTCACCTCTTATGTTCGCCTACAGGACTTCTCCCGGACCTACAAAGCACCATACTTGGAACTTATTACCCAGATCTCTCTAGTTATCTCCTACTCTGTTTGCCTTCAGATTATCCCTGAAAACTCATGTCTTCTGGGAAGCCAATCTCTCCTTCACCTAAAAAAAATTACGTTTTTCTTCTCCATCAGCTCATCCCCTACCTTTTGTATTACTTGTCCCTTCCTCTTAGATTGTAAGTAGAGATGAGCGAATCGAACATGACGAAGTGGAATTCGTTCCGAAGATTTGGAAAAATTCTATTCGCGACGAATCCGAAGATTAGCAAACTTCGGATGCACGAATCGAATTTTCCCAAAAATGGCGGCGACATGTGTGGCGACGGAGAAAATGTACAGAGAAGATGGGGCGGGGATCTCTGGGAAGGCGCGCAGACAAGGCGCGCTGACCCATAATGCATTCATGACATGTGATCGCATTAGCCAATCAGCAGCCAGCCAGCACTGTGTAATGGTGGAGCTATAAATCGCGGCCATCTTAGAATTCTCCATTAGCCTCCGGTCATTCAAGAGAGACAGACCTGTGTGTATTAAGGGACAGAGTTAGGGCCACAGAGACTTTAGGGCCACAGAAGGGACACAGAATCGTTACTCAGGGACACAGAATCGTTACTCAGGGACACAGAATTGTTACTCAGGGACACAGAATCGTTACTTAGGGCCACAGCTATCAAAGAATCGAAAATTTAAAGTGACATACACCCTTTTTTTTTAGTGGCTGTCGTGCACAGTTGGTGCTGCAGTTTGCCGATTGTGCAAAATAAACTGACTTTCTGCTTCACAACCACTATTGTACATTCAAAGAGTTAAATCCATTTACACGCCGGCTGGCGGTAATATTTTTTGGGTGATTAGTGCATTCCAGTGACACAAACGTACAGTTTCCAGCCAACGGCAAGCTGCAATTGACCGATTGTGTACAATAAACTGACTTTCTGCTTCACAACCACTATTGTACGCTCAAAGAGTTAGATCCATTTACACGCCGGGTGGCGGTAATATTTTTTGGGTGATTAGTGCATTCCAGTGACATAAACGTACAGTTTCCAGCCAACGGCAAGCTGCAATTGACCGATTGTGCTAAATAAACTGACTTTCTGCTTCACAACCACTATTGTACGTTCAAAGAGTTAGATCCATTTACACGCCGGGTGGCGGTAATATTTTTTGGGTGATTAGTGCATTCCAGTGACATAAACGTACAGTTTCCAGCCAACGGCAAGCTGCAATTGACCAATTGTGGTAAATAAACTGACTTTCTGCTTCACAACCACTATTGTACGTTCAAAGAGTTAAATCCGGTTTTATTTTTGGGGTGCTTATTGAATTAAAGAGTATGTCAGACAACACGCAGAGGAGTGGCAGAGGAGGCAATGTTTCAGGAGCGAGCAGACGTGGCAGCAGAGGAAGGGGTCGAGGCAGCACTAGTCGCAGCCAGAGGCCAGTGCTCCTGGTGTCATCCAGCGGTCGTGTCTCCACCGACAACCCTGCCGTCATCGATTGGTTGACTCGGTCGTCTTCCTCTTCCCAGGTCACCTCTGACACCTACAGCCTACGGTCGGTGGGTACGTCAGACACAACCGTTAGTTGACATGGCCCGGGAGCAAGCCCACTGAAATCACGTGTCCTCGACCTGCCCCTGTCCTTTGGTGTTCCCTCACCAAGCGAAGTATCGCATGCTGTGGGCTCAGCCCCACTGTACAGTGAGGAAGAGCTAACAGAGGGCGGTCAGGAACGGGGGGAGACATCCGCCTCTTCAGCAGCCAGGCGAAGAAGTACTGGCGAGGAGAGTGGCTCGGTAGCCGGTCTAGAGACAGGTCTGTCTCCTGACCCACACGCAGCCGAGGGGGCTAGTAGTGACGCGGAGACCCTAATTGATGATGATGAGGCTGATCGCACTTGGCAGCCTCGTCGTCATCAGGCTATTGCTTCCGCATCATCAGGAGAAGAGGGTGCCAGCTTGCCAGCGAGCAAAACAGTCGGTGGGTTGCCCAGGAGGCAGCAGGGTCGCAGCAGTGTCAGTGGAGCCAAACGGCCACGGAGTAGAGCACCAGCTCCACTGCAGTCTACCACCACGGCCAGTAGTGGTGCCGGTGTGCACGGAGGAAGTAGCAGTCAGCCAGTGAGGAGTAGCGGGGGCAAAGTTTCCTACTCGGCGGTGTGGCAATTTTTCGTCAAGCCGCCCGAGGAAGTAAACGTAGCCGTATGTCGACTATGTGGCCAGAAAGTCAAGCGTGGCCAGGGGGCCAATGTTGGGACTACAGCGTTGCGTCAGCATATGCAGCGTCGCCATTCGGTGGCCTGGGAAAACCGTGATAAAGATACGGCGGTTCTGCCTGCCCCAGCCCCCGCTCCATCACCCGCTCCGTTACTTGCTCCGTCACCCGACGTCAATCGCCCTCTATCAGCCAGTCAAGGCTCCAACACCTCTGCTGAGGGGAGTTGTCGCTCGTTGGCATCTTCCGCTCGTTCAGATGCTCCTTCTCCTGCTACTCCTCTTCACGGATTCCGTCAGCAGTCTTTCTTGGAATCCGTTTCCAAGAGACAACAGTTTGCGAGCACGCACTCGACGGTGCAGAAGCTGAACGTCCTCCTGTCCAAGTTGCTGGTGCTGCAGTCCCTCCCCTTTCCAAGTGGTGGACTCAGCACCTTTCCGAGAAATGATGGCTTGTGCCGAGCCGCGGTGGAGAGTGCCAAGCCGGCATTTCTTCGCCAAAAAGGCAGTGCCAGCCCTGCATTCACATGTAGAAGAGATGGTGGGCCAGTCTTTGAGCATGTCGGTCTCTGCCAAAGTGCACGGCAGCGCCTACGTGTGGAGCTGTAACTACGGTCAGGGACAGTACATGTCATTTACGGCCCACTGGGTGAACGTGGTGCCGGCACAGCCGCACCAGCAACTTGGACAGGTCACGCGCTTTTGCCTCCACGTTTGCACGTCCTTGGTCCAGCAAAGATGTCCGCCTCTACCACCTCTTCTTCCGCCGTGTCCTCAGCCGCCACCCCCGTGCCAAGTCCCATTACCCGACCGGCATATCACATGTGCAGGGGCAATGGTGTCACGCTGTGCTGCACCTGGTATGCCTTGGCGAACGTAGTCACACAGGGGAGGAACTTCTGAGTGTA